GCCAAAAAAAGGGATAAAAAAGGGGGGAAAGACTCGACAGGTATGATGCATGCAAGAGTCTGTTCCAGTGCTTGTCATCCTTTCTATAGCCAGCGCCCACTTCTGCCATTGACTGAGTGAGAAAATGGGACACGTTTTCAATTCGGTTAAGTTTATACCAGTGACTGAGTGATTCGAAAATGTCTGGAGAAATCCAAAAAGAATGGGATCACCTCAAAATGAGTATAAAGGTACTTATTGGTCTGATAAAAATGTGGAACAAGGAAAGTTATTAACCACCAAAGAATGAAAATAACATTATGATGGGGAAAAAAACGCAAGGAAGTGATAAAAGTGCAGAAAACAGCATTTCAGAAATGGCAGAAATCAATGACTGAGGAAGGTTAATTACATACTTTACTGGAAGGCGAGGTGACAGCAGCTGGAGCAGTCAGGGAAGTGAACTATGGCTCGTGGAAAACATGTAATTGTGGAGAGTAGCTGGCGAGAAAGTGCTGAGAGGATTCAAGACTGTCGTAGCGCCAAAAGCGAACAGTCGTTCAACCCAACAACCATCGTCATCGACATAAATTAAACGGCAACCCTATCATGCTCTAAATTCAAGCAAAAGATAGACAGAACACAACGTCTGCTGTTGCTCTATTGCCGCAATCAACAGCTACAATAACTGAACCTCTATTAATATCACCTCTTGCAGCCATAAAAACAACAACAACAACAACAACAACAACAACAACAACAACAACAACAACAACAACAACAAAACTCTCTTACTTACTTACTTACTTACTTACTTACTTACTTACTTATTTACTTACTTACTTACTTACTTACTTACTTACTTACTTACTTACTTACTTACTTACTTACTTACTCTCTCGCTATACCGTCAGGTACATAAGGCGGAGAGCAGTCGACTCCACGCATGTCTGTCCCGGGCCATTTTCTCTAATTTTGGCACATCTTGGCCCTAGGAGATTACCTCATCTCTTATAGTGCCTCTGTAGCTTCCATGCAGTTGGTCTTCCCCGCTTTCTCTTCCCAGTTGGTTTCCACAGCCATGTCTGATAAGGCAATCTCGTCTTTGGCATTCTCAGAACATGTCCCAGATAGTTCCACTTCACTTTTTGATTGTTGTGTTGATGTCTTCAATTCCAGCTCTTTCCAACACTTTATTATTTGTAATAAATTCATTCCATTTAATTAGTAAAATTCTTCGTGGACATTTTGTTTGGAAGCTTTTCACTTTTCGTTGAATTGTTAGGTTTGTTTTCCATATTCCTGAACCATAGTCAATACAGCCAAAATATTGCTATTATATATTTTTAATTTAAATTTTGTCTTCAATGAAATGATCTTTGACTTCCATATAGTCTTTAGCCTCACAAAGTGATCCATGCATTTTAAGTCTTTGGTGGTCGTCGTCAAGGCAATCTGCAGTTTTGGATATAATGCTGCCAAAGTACTTGGATTTACTAATTTCTGCAAGGGGTTCTCCATAAAGAGTGAGCGTAGTTTCTGATGATAGTCGTTTTGGATACATTTAATATAAGGCCAACTTTTTTCGCAACTTTTGCTAGTTCGTCTGGTTTTTTAAAATTGCATTTCATGTACATGGTGTTTAATAGGCAGATGTCATCTGTAAAATCTAGATCTCCTTAACAACAACAAAAGCCACGATCATATAAAAAAAAAGAATGTTAATTGAAACCTACAAGAAAACATCCATCAGTAGTGTTACTAAATCGATATTTCTCGCGAGAAATGAAGATTACACCCCTTTAAGATGACAAAAAGCGTTTGATGATCCATGATTATTTTTAAACAAATTGCATTCTGAAATCGGGCGCCTATTAAAATAACCACAACAAAGGTTAACTCATTCTCGACACGCAGTCTGTTCAGTCGACAACGTTTGAAATCCCGCTGTTTAGGGAAACTTTAAAAAAATGAGCATAATAACTTCATTATAATTCATATCCATTCTAAAATTCGGATTTCTCTTTCTCAAACATGAACAGA